CTAAATTTCACCCCGTTTTTTTGAGAACTCAGAAAGTTGTAGGCAATTAAAGTTTCATCCAATCAGATTGCAGCACACCTGCCTGCTCATGATTTCATGATTGCTTTTATGTATCATACTGTAGACCTTTATAGTGTATGACTATGTTCAAAATTGTAAAGAATTATAACAAAAAACAAGAAAGATATTGAGACTTTAGTTTCAGTCAATAAGAGCGAAGTGCACGTGCACGCACGTGAGATCTTGCTTTTTTGACCATGTCTATGCTACCAATATATCCTCACATAATGAATTTTAAAACATTTCATTAAATAAATAGAAAAGTTACGGATATATTTATATTGGTCATTTTGTGTGTTGCACGTGCGCGCTCTTGCAAGCACGTGCACACAAAATGACCTTCGTTTAGCAAATCTACATAATATACCTACTATCCCTAAAAGGGTTTCACCTAAGTAAGATGTGTTGTTTTCAAGATCACCCATGGACAAACTTTTCCCAGGAAGAAAAATAATATTAATAGTAAGAAACAGAGTAAAAACAATATGTTCCCCAACTTCCTTTGGGTAACATAATTACAAAGATCAACTTAAAGATTGTTATCTATTATCACTCCAAAATTTGATCTCCAGATATTTTGGCAATTTACTGTAAACCAACTATTAATCGCGTCATTTTTTCTTATTTGCGATTCGTCAGTTTGCAATCTATCTGCGACAAGAAATTTTCGCGACAGAGGAAACATTTTCTACAAATACTTATCAAAATCATTGGTTCGTGGCGATTAATATTCGCGAATAAAAGTAGAGCGCGGAACTCGCGCATATTTCTCGCACATGAATAAAAGTTGGTTTACTGTACATCTCTATATTTAATTATATTCATTTTCTGATCTGGTAAGGACTTTAAGTTACTTCAGTATTTGCGGATCATGAGAACTACTCATTGACAATCATAAAGTACCTGGATATGGGAATAGCCTAAGCTATACCAGACTTATAAAAGCTGAGCTATAAATACATATTTAATAATTTTAGTATGTGTCTTGTGGATCTGGAATTATTACTGACCAAATGTTCTGTATCCAGGAGAGCGGGGCGGGGGGTATGAAGCTGGTCCAAACAAATCATCCAGATTCTGACATTTCTGAAATATATAAATTCATAAATCACAAATGTCAACTCAATGTGATTTTTTGTGCATAGGTATTTCATTTTTTATATGGCTGAATAATTTATAAGGTACTTTGATTGGTGGAGATCCAACATAACAATTATAGAAATCATACTAATTGTTATCCTAATCCTAAAAGAACTTTTATGTACGAAACATATATCTATTTTTTATACCCCCGTTAAGAGTTAATCTTTTTAAATGATATTTTCACTTCCCACACAAATTAGCATTTACTCAAAGGTTTGCCCTTATCAATAAAGTTTTTGTAATAATAAGCATTTACAAATCTCAACAAAATGTGGAGAATTAATATTAAAATTCATTGGGATTTTACTGACATAGCCCTCATTAGATGATGATAATAAGCAAAATCCAGTGTTGAAACTAGTGTTGAATAATCGGGGAAATTTCATAATCGATAATTGATCGAAATCGGAGAAGCTTAATCGATCAATCATCGACTTATTTAATAATTCAACTACAAAATTCTATTTCCTTATAGCATTTATCATTTATGGTACAAACTAAAAATAAAATTTTATGAAGTTTATTAACAACTTTTTGTTGTGTAAGAAACAGAATTTTTTTTTTTACATACTTGCTCATAAAAACTTAAAATGTTTGTCATGACATCAGATTTTGCATTCTCTGGATTTGGGTAAAATTCTACTTGTTGTTGTTTAGTTAGATTAATATAAGCCCTCAGCCCCTCACCACAGTTAGAATAAGTCCCATACACAGTACTTAACTTGCAATGCAGCAAATCGGGCGGATCCATTCCGAAACGATTTTAAAGAATATAAAAGGATTTGCACTAGAAATAACTACCAATTTAATCAAAACAAACCTTCTTAAGATTGCTTATGTCTTTTATCCCCAAAAATAATCCAAATAAAGACGAAAAACCAATTACTTTTTTACCGTTTTTCTCTCGCTTCAAATTTACCTGCCATGTTTACATTCGGAACTCTCTAGATTGTCCGTAGTAAATGTATGAGTTATCCCGTGTTTCTTTTGCTACATTACGAATACACGGAATGAATTCCATCGTTAAACTGAGTCCGTAGGACAATATCAGAATGTTCTAACTAATTGTTGTTAACTTTGTCTTCGGGCGCCATTTTTGTTGACCTCTTTCCTTTTCGTTTTTTACATGCATTGTTAATGCGTGCGTATTTGTTTTGTTCAAATTGTACACGTTTATTTTGGCACGTTTATTTGGGCGACTATCGATTATGAAAATCGTAATCGATAATCGGAATCGAACACCCAAAAACGATCGACAATCGATCGTCGGCGACAATCGTTTCATCACTAGTTGAAACCAAGACCTGAAACAGGAAGGGGACATTTTCAAAAGTAGAAAGAGATTTGGGTTCCCCCTTCTAATCGGGAATGTAGGAGGAGTACAGCACCATTGGCGGAAAAATTCTCAGGCCCTCACATCTTATGGAAAACCCTGAGAATGCAAAAGAACTCAGCAATCAGAGTGACAAGTCTTTCTAACCTTAGGTATAGGTCTGTTTTTGCTGACGTTGACGATGGCTGGGTCATCTATCTCCTCATCTTCTACCACCAACTGACTGATGCTCTGCTCCATGTATTCCTAGTTATAACAAATATTACAATGTACACAGTGGTACACATCATGAATGTACAGCAAGGTGCCCTTTTCACCTTTTATATTAAGAAAATTTAAGATCATTGTTTGACAATTTCCAGGATTCATATGTCTGGGGCCTAGAAAAATTGGAAACATATAGAAATTGCATACTAAGGCATCTTCAATCACAGACTTAAATCTCCATATTGGATATTAAAATGTTTCTTTTTTTTTTTAATCTTAAGAATTTTGTGCAATTTCTATTGAAATAAACCTTCTTAACATCCTTTACAAACTGTGAAACACTTAATACACAGTACATGTTAAATGATCTTTTTTGATACCTTACAAGGTTGTCCCTAACAATTGAAACAGCAGTAAACATTATAAACATTACAAAAGTAGATGGGGATCTGGGATTCTTTCCCCACACAAAACAACTGGAGATAATGTCCTTATAGGTTCCAAGGTGGTGAAATTCCCCTGATCCCAGGTCTTAGGACCAACTCTGCACTTAATACAGAGACAGTGATGATTTACCTCCTGACTGGCGTAGGTCTTGTACCCAGAATCCCGCGCTGGTCGTCCGTAGAGAATTTTGTCCCCGACCTCTATCACCTCCGACAGTTTCTCATGCTCCTCCTCCCAGTCAAAATCTGCTGTAATACGTAAAACATAGAATGTCAATTACCGTTATACACTGGTTAACAAAACGGGCATCACCGTGTGTATTAGAAAGATGGCCAATCTCTAAGGCTTACGAAAGGTTTATTATTTTATGCATTTTGCATGCACACACACAGAGCTGTTAACAACATATGGTAAATCAAAAATCATAAATTCCAATAGTTCACCACAAAAATTTTATATGGATTTAACGTTCATGTAATTGTATCTTTACATAATACAACTGATCATTTTAGGCATTAAAGCACTTTCATAGAATTATCCACAACAAACCATTGATATCTCATTCTCTACCAAATGTCTCGACATTCAACATATCACAAAGAATCACAACAAACCATCAATATCTCCTCCAAACGTCTCATCGTTCATCAGATCTATGTCTTCTTCTTCAGGGGCCTCCATCAGCTCATTCTCATTACACATCCCCGCCCCGAGGGCCTATAGAAGAGGAAAAACAATTTATTTACTCTATTACATGAAAAGCTGTAAAGGATCTACCATGATTTGTATTTGATTTTTATCCAACAAGTTCTGTGTTTTTATCCCTGATCCTTGGTGAGGGGATTCAAACAAACAAGGAGTTGGATAAAAATCATATCCAACTATAAATCATGAGAGAAAGAATCTTTTTATCCCTTTATTTTTACTTCACAATCAATGTTTTACACCATTTATAAAGGCCTCATTGTTTATCATAACTATACGCTTAGCATGCTTACTTTGGTTACTTAATATGGAGAGGAAGATCAGAGTAACAAAGAGAAAGTACATTTCCACTTTACAACCTTACATGGCCCCAAAAGAAAATGCATTGCCAAGCAGTTTTTGATGAATTTAAATTTCACAAGGACTGATATTTTCTTTTTTGATCAATCTTTTAACACTTCGGAGACTTTTATTTACATGCATAAAATTATGGAACATTGGCCTCATAATATAGCATGAAAATTGTTACATAAATGTTGAGACAGAGGAAATTCGAATTAAATCATAATTACGTCGCTGTTTCTACACGATATTTTGTATGAAAGAGAGAACGCTAAAGAATATTAACTTTAAAATTATATAAAAGGTGAATAAAAAACTTAAGTTCAGTGTGTTATTTCTGAAAATACAAAACCGAAATGTATAAAAATGTGCCTGTGCATGAAAACAAGTTATATTTTTTCACAAAAAATACAAACGTATAAAAAGATGCTTCTAAAAAAATTAATGCTTAAAAAATTCATTAAAATTATCACTGATATCAATTAAGTAACTCAATCCAACGTACAGGGTGGTGCGAACCCAAACTTGAGAACGTGTCTTCCATTTCTCTCAGGCCATTTTCGATTTATGGCCAAAACTCTCGTTACCAAAACCATTCCTGAAAAGTTTGATTTTTTTCTAATATTCAAAAACTCGTTTCAAAAAAGTAAAATAAGCTTTTGAATAATTTTTCATGCTAAATATTCCTTTTAGTTAATCAGATTATTTACTGAAACATGATTTCTATTAATTTTCTTTTGCTTTGAGAGTAGCCAACGTACTTTTTCCGCCATTGCTCGTAAAAGAACGGATATCTCCGTTATTGTTCAGAAATTGTGGATTCTTACAAAATCTCCTCCATGAAACATGTGATCAGAGCTGGTTGAGGACTAATGCTTTAGTAAACATAGACAATTAATCCACAAAATGTCTCCCTGGTATGTCTTTATTGAGAATGCGTTTACCAATATTTCCGTAATTTTTCCGTAATGTCAGAAGTCGACATTTCCGAAGAGCTTCCGAATGGAGACGACTCGGCCTTTACGGACGATCATCAACAAACCAACTCAGGTGGTGATGCAAGCAGCACGGTAAATGCCGAGAGTCCCTCGATCAACCATCAGCCTCTGCCCTCCCAACTGTATGTGACGACAACCCAAGGCCTCGTGCCGGCGGAACAGATCCAGGAAGATATAAAAACTACTCACATTGTGATCCACGATCAGACATTTGATGGGGGACTCAAAACCCCCACCACCCCTCTACCCCCTCCCACCCCCGCCACTCCACTCAGCAGAGAAAAGGGGTTCAAGTACACATGGGATGACTCTGTGCAGGGCAATATTCTGCCAGTGAGATGTAAAAACTCCAACGGAGAGCTCTACAAAAATAAATTCGGTTCAGGTATAAATCAATTTTGAGAGTGAGAAATAATTCAAATATGGAAGAATCAAGATTGATCATCATGCCTCATTTTTTTCATTCTCACAGTGTCGAGCGGGTTGGTTGGGGGATTCTTAATCAAAATGTTGCCTTTGGACCCCTGATCAATTTTCTTCGATATCTTTGAATTCAGTCCTGCTTCTCGTAACGGTAATTGAGTATAGTGCTCACTAATCAGAATGCGGGTTTTAGTAAGCCAAGTTGATAATTTAACATAAACAGGGGTCTAACAACTGTTTATCAATTCAACCCCCTAATGTTGTGAGGACGAAGGAAAAGAAAATTTGGGAATTTGATGTCAGTGATTCTAAGACCTTTTTTTTTACAGGAGGAAGGGGTAGATGTATAAAGAGTGATGGTGAATGGTTCACTCCTAATGAGTTTGAGGCCCGCAGCGGTCGTGCTAGCAGCAAGGACTGGAAGAGGAGCATTCGTTACGGGGGTCGGACACTGCAGTGTCTAATTGAGGATGGCGTTCTGCAGCCTCATGCAACCTCCTGCACATGTGCTGCCTGCTGTGACGACGAATCAGTCGTATGTTTATTATTTTCATTTTATGTTCTCCATAAGCAGAGTTCTGTCAGTTTTCCTGAAGTTTTTATTTTTGAAATTTTTTTTTAATTTTGATTAATAACATTGATTTTTAAACTAAAAGGATCAAAGAAAAGGCAATATTTTGAAATATTATACTTTCATGTAAATTTAATTACTTGAATCTGATTCGTCAAAAAACATTTGATAAAAAACACTACTACCCGCTGAGTAATGAAACCACGTCCTCGAGCATAGCAACAGTCAACATTACTTGATGACGGGTGGTATTACAAAAAAAAGTGACTGTGTGGAATTTATGTGCGCACGGTTCACTGTAATATGTTTTTGTATAAAACATTCAGTATAATATAATAAATACTGCAATGCATGTAGTTTAGTGTAACATTGAAAATTTTCACCCCAACAAAACCATTGTCGACCGAGGCTACCCCTCGAAAACCATTGTCAACCTCGGCTGCGCCTCGGTCGACAATGGTTTTGTTGGGGTGAAAATTTTCAATGTTACACTCAACTACGAGGGGTGATCAAAAGTTCGCAAACTGTCTCTATATCTGCAAAACCACAATTCAGATTAGAATGAAATTTGGTACACACAATCATAGCCATACACAAGGTCTATAAACAGCATATGCTGAATAAAGATTCTCTCTTTGTTTGTGACGCCACTATTTAGGTCACTTTTGAGGAAAAATGGTTGTCTCAGTCGAACTCGTTCAACAAACGACTGTACAATTTATTGTAATATTTTAGAAATCCCTCTACAGTATCATATAATAATTTGTACACAGTTTATTGAAGTAAATGAGTTCCTATAAATTCAATTAACAGTCTTCACGAAAACTCACTGGTCCGAAGACCGAGGCCAGTGAATTTTGACTTCGGGTCAGTGAAAATCAGAATTCAAGAAGTCCGATGGGCTTGTTGATTATAAAAATCATACATAGTCAAAATATATTTTAACTGACTTACTTGCGTAATTTTCATTAATATATAAAATAAAAAGATCAAGCATGTGTTATTGAATCATATTATTATAACCCTATTATAGCATGGATGTATTACGTAACAACCGGAACTAGCTAGTAACTATTAACTAGTACGTAAAATGTGCTAATTTCCAACGAACAACTTACCTAAACGCGACAAAGGACGAAAATGGCGGCATTTTAAAAGTTGAAGTACGTAAACATGTATTAATTTACAGTTATGAAAATGTATTTCTTTTATTTTTTAATCAAGGAGCCAGTAAAAATTTTGGTGGGCCAGTAAATTTTGAAAGTTCACTGGTCCGACTGGCCAGTTAGTTTGAAAAGTTTTCGTGAAGACTGAATTAATGATTGGATTAATCGTTTTAGTGAAGGAAGGCTGATGGTTAAAAATGATACTTGTCATCTTGTCCAGTGAAAGCAAGTTTGAAAAGATATGTATTTTTAATTAAGCAATTTGCTATCAAAGACCTCCAATTAGCAATTTGAAAAATAGTTGAATATTTGAACAATGATATAAGTATTAAATACCTAAGATATCATTTACTTTAGATTTTAAACATATTAGATATGATAAAAAGGATGCACCCATTCTCTATCCACCTTGAATAAAGGTCTCTCCTGAGACAGACGATTTGTGTTTTAATGGTCACCATGCTTGTTTTTGGAAAGGATGTTAATATTATCCACCCAATATGACCATTTCTGACAAATGAACCGTTCTTGTCATAAAAATTAACTCACATGGAAAGAAATATAAAACTCGGAAAAATCTTTCAACTTTTGTGACAGAACGCTACGGAGGGGGTCACATGACCACCAATATCACGTGATTCGCACATGCGCAGAACGGTGGTTGATGTGCATTAAAATCGGGGAGGATTAATTTAAAATATAATCAACATTAAAACCAAATATTGTTTCTTGTATGGAAGTTATTCAATTAGTTTATGAACTTTTTGATCACCCCTCATACATGCAATATTTATATATTAATCATTTATATACTGTAAATCACTTTTTATTTGCGAGAATTTTATTTTGGCGTAATTACATGAGACAATGTGGTTGAGGAAATTAAATTATCGCACATAATAGTTTTTCTAAGGATAATATAGAGCAAGATCCACAATTCGTGGAAATTTTGTCTCACTTATCAAGAGTCAATGACTATGTCACGAAAATAAGGTGTCACAAAAATTTAGTCATCTACAGTAATAAAGAGACGTAAATCTCACATTTTACCATGTACATTTTAGACTGGCCCTGTGCGATTATTTGTCCCGTACAAGAGGCGTAAGAAAGACAGCGAGAGTGGAGGCCCACCCTCCCCTCCTCTATCTTCTCCACTACCAATCAAAAAGCAGAGAATCAACTCCGTCAAATCCCCTGCTCCCACCCCCTCAGCTTCACAACAAATCTCAAACGCTCCCTCACCAGTATCCATGGCAACCATCGTACCAGCCTCCAACATCGCCAAAGACACAGGAGGTAGGTAGCCATGGCAATGTATGTGGAGTTGTTGGAAAGAACAATATAATTAATATATTAGATTGTATCAGGTTATAGTTGCAGTTGAATATCAATGGCACATTTGAGTGAAATATTGTGAAAAACTGTGTAGCAGAAAGTGAAATATCTCTCCCTTTTTCCTAGTTTTAATATTTAATGAATGATGCACAAATTCAAGTTTAACAAAACAGAAACTGTTTAAGTCTACTAAATATTCATCAGGCCTGATTATTATTACAGGGTTTCATTAACTTGTAACTGACTTCTGCCTGTACAAATGAACAAAGTTACACTTAGTAGATATCATATAGTCCAGAACTAGCAAATTCTTTAAGAGATATTACAACTGTGTTTTCAAACATGTATTTATGACCTAACCTTGAATCAGTCAGAATCTTGGGTCATTTTACAACAATTATCCCTCCTTCCAGCTGTTATGGTATCCATTGGTGGACAGACCCACACAGCACAGCCAATCAAAGTGACGACCTCGGAGGGCGAGACCATGCAGATGCAGATCTTAACAACAAACGACAGTCTGGGGACATACCTGACTACAGGAGGTATATAAAAACATATTGAAAACAGTGCAGAAAACCAAAGAGAATATCAATAATGCATATTTTTTCATAAAATACCAAGAAATACAAAACAAATATTTGAGGAACGCGTTGTCTGGCCTTAAGAAAAGAAATTTAATTGTAAGCCTTTCATTGTTGATTAGTTCCAAGTATATTTTATTCATTGAATTGGATTGAACATTGTTGTTAACATTTCCTTTGACTTTTGTAGAAGCTGTAGTGATGGCTCCTATTTCTGAGGTGAAGAGTGCAAACGGAGGACTGACAAATGCTGCCATTTTGTCAGTTCCTGACATGTCAGAGCAAAGACAGTGGTGGCAGCTGGAAGAGGTAAGAGGTTAAAGGTCAAAAGTCAGAGGTTAAATTCATCAGAAAGAGGCAAATCTTGCAGTGGATATCTTGGGAAGGGGATGGGGTTAACATGGTTTAGGAGGAGTCAAAAAATTATAATAATGTGTTAATAGATATAATTTCTTACTTGTACATGTAGATAAAGCTTAGCAAAGATAGCAAAGTTTTAAGAAATGTGCATATACTGTTGTGTGTCATGGAATGCTATACATGTATGGCTTTATACATAGATTTAACATTGTCTTTATATTGAGACATGTTGTTAGAATGTCACTGTTCATTAACATATTGTGTAGTATGTCACTTCATTTTACATTCCCATTTATGTTGGAAAGATTACAAAATTTGTTAACATACTACCCAATCATTAATCAGTATGCACCTTTTCAAAACAAGTGATCAAATGCAACAATTATGTTATACGAGGGCTGTTTGAAAATTATTGAGACATTGTGTGTATTTTGCTTTCTAATGAATGTCTTTCCGTGAAAATTTGCAAATCATATATATAAAATATGTAACATCAACGTTCTAACTCTTCTTAAACCCATAATAAGAGCGAAAATACAGTGTAACTCAGTTTATGTGTATAATTTTCAGCTTTATTTCAAATTCATGTTGTGCAACTTCCTTGGAATTTTGATCAGAAATAAGAAATCATAAAAAGAATAAGTGCGGTAGAGAAATATGCCAACAACGAAAAAACTCGATTTTGACGTCAAGGGCGGAACAGCCACAAACCTAAAATTTTGTGTAGCGCAATGTAAAACTTTTTTCCACTCACTACCTGCAAAAATAATAACAACGAGAAAAAAATTGTGTGTTAGGCTTTGTTAATTCATTAATTGATATACATTTTTTTTACAATCAATTTAACCAGAGTAAACTCAAAAGCTCCGGACAACCATCAGTCATGACCTACGGTGTTAATCAATATTGTTATGGTATTATTATCATTGACCCGCGTTGTAGAAATTGGCACTGCATGATTCTATGTCATCCTTTCACACAAATGAAAGTTTTACACTGGGCTATAGCAGAAGCATACTATATGCATTTTTAAAGAACAGAAAGAGACTGTTTGATTTTTGTAATGTTATAAGTACAGGTAACTCTTGAAACCTCGAAGTCCGCGGGACCGAGGTAAAACTTCGAGAGATCAAGAGTTCGAGTTTTCAAGAGTCTGGATTTTTCCAGGTTTGTTTGACAGGTTTTAGAATTAGTCTTACTGGATGTAATGATTTTCATGAAGTCCTTACGTTTTACACGTGGTTTTTATAAAACAACGATATGTTTTCGTATTTTAGATGAATATTTATTAAACTGAGTAAAGCAAATGATGTACATCGTCAGTACGTGTACATTTATTTTTTTTTTTATCATGCGGACATCATTCAACGTGTTTGTTATATGAAGATGGCATTTTAACAGCGTGGCTTGGTACATAGCATTGTGACTTTTCCAAATATGTGCATTGAACGAAATTCTGTATGTATTTGTCCAATTATAGTCTTAAAAGTGACAGCGAGGCTGTTTCTGAATTTTCATATTTCGTTAAACTTTAAAACTGATTCGAAATAAAATATTAAATTCGTCAAGTGTTTCGTCTTGTAATCTGCCATTACTATTCCTCAAGGGTTTCGAGAGATCAAGAGTTCGAGAAATCAAGAGTAAATTTGCTTAGTTATATAGTGGAAAAAATCGGGACAGGAGACTCACTTCGAGCGATCAAGAACTTCGAGAGATCTAAGTTCGAGCCATCAAGAGTTACCTGTAATAACAAAGAAGGAAAATTTTTAAACACTTCCGTAATGTTTTACACGTGAAACCATCTCCCGCTGACATGACATTACATGACGTAGCAATGCTGCTCCAGGTCGATAGACATGTGCATATTTATCATTTCACCGAGACTTGTCTAATTATCATAGAAATTAGAAATTTTGCATAAGTATTTAATGCGTTCTTTGTAAAATGTTGTTGAATTTTCATGAAATTAACTCCGTACTTTATGGAGTAAATGTAATTGTCTCAGTAATTTCCGAACAGCTTTGTATTTCATCACACCATTGTGAGTCTATATCTACCCCTACAGTTGTCATCAAATGCAACAATTGTGCTATATTTCATCTTACTGTTCTGACAATGAGTTTATTTTTACCCCTTCAGTTGTCTTCATGCCGTATTTTTATCACACTGTTATGACATTAAACTATTTCTACCCCTACAGTTGGCCAATAACATGCTGCTACAGGCCCAGCAGCTCAAGTCAATGATAGAGCAGGCCAAACAGCAGACACAGCTATTCAGAGACGCAGCAGTCCAACAGGTCAAAGGTCAGATGGAGAAAGAGAAACAGGAGGTAGGGAGGGGAATCATTTAAGGAATAACTGTCTTATTTTTGGATTTCTTGATGTGATCAATTAAATGGCTTGTGTGATTTCGTTTTTTATACGCCCGTCTTAAGACGGGACGTATTATGTTATAGGCTTCGTGTCCGTCCGTCTGTCTGTCTGTCCGTCTGTCTGTTAGCTTTTTCGTTTCTGGCTCATAACTTTAATACTATTAGGCCTAGGATTATCAAACTTTGTCATCTGATGCATCTTGGGTAGAAGGTGTGTCGCGCACAAAAAGTAGGTCGCTCTGACCTTTTATTAAGAAGTTATAGCCAAATATGGAAAAATCCTTTCCGCCCCATAACTAGAAAACTATAAGACTAACAATCATCAAACTTGGCCAGTTTATGCATCTTAGGTAGAAGGTGTGTCGCGACCTATTTCAAGGTCACTGTGACCTTTAATTTAAGTGAAATTAAAAAAAAAAAAAGTGTCTTTTTACTATTCATTTAAGCATCCCAAATAATGTAAGAGTATTGCACTCTCCTTATTAAAAACATGTTAAATCAAGAAAATACTTATTTTTTTAAGTATATACTTGACAGCAATCTATAACAAATATAATGTATGTTAGAGAAATCCTACCTCTCCCTTGAGTGTAATTATCAAGCACTGGTCAAGAAGAATTTTGATAACAGAAAATTGCATGTCAAATTAGAGAGAAATTAATGAGTTTTAAGTGTGAGGATCTAACTGATAGAACATCAGTGTTATCTATATCCCTTGGGTATTGGGCAGATGGGTAAGCCTGTTGGATTAAAAATAGCTCTTGTTGGCTAGCCTAAGTTTTAAAATGAATTTGATTAAAACTAATTTGATATTGCATAATAGACTAATCTGATATTATATAATATTATTAATTTAAAAACTAATTTTAAGGGGTGGGGTGGAATCAGCATTTCCATATGAATTACATATTAAAACCTGTCGGACATTAAATCTCAACCAAAAAAAATTGTTGAATATTTTATATGTTTAGAAAAAAATTTATGGTAGATAGTGCAGACCCATTCATCTCTTGGTAGTAATGAGTAGACAAGCATCCAGTTAAAGATTAATTAATGAGTTCAATGTAGGAAGGCTAGCTGATCAAGTGGCTTATCTGTATCCTTTGGGGATTAGACAGAAGAAGTGCTGGTCAGTTTATAGCATAATTATGTCATTTGATGGCCAGGCCTTTTCTTTTCAAAATTAATTTGGTATAGATTAAGATGTTAAGAATAATTTGATATTGTTTAATATGATGGGCATTTGACAAGGTCTAACACAACCAGCATAGAAATCTATTAATGATGTAATATTTATTATAATTAATGCCTAGATAACAGGAAATGGATAAATATTTGAAGGAATGGAAAAATCATGGAAATCTTGGAATCAAGGTTGACGTGATTTTCTTGCACACTAAAATGTTCAAGAAAATTGTATTTTTTTATGACGGGCGTATCATGCTGTGGCGCGGCACTTTATTATGCATAAAATTATCACGCAAGCCAATCGATTGATCATTGTCATAAAATCCAAAGGTATTACAGTTATTCCTTCTATTGACATGTTCTTGATTTTTACAAATCCATATGCTACAAGCCCTGATTCCATCTCTATTTGTCCCGCTCTGTACATAGTAATTTTTATTGCACCTATCAGTGAACCAGTACATTTATGTAGAAAATAAAGTACATTAACTTTTTAGGTCACCTGAGTAAACTCAGGTGACCTATTGCTATCCGTTTTCGTCCGTCGTCGTGCGTCGTGCGTCGTGCGTTGTGCGTCGTGCGTTAACATTTGAACATTTTCAGCTTCTTCTCTGCAACCACTGAACCAATTTCAACCAAATTTGGCACAAAGCATCTATGGGTGAAGGGGAACAAAAATTGTGAATTTCATGATCCCTGCCCCCCTGGGGCCTGAGGGGTGGGGCCAAAACCACTAAAATTAATGCAATCTTAAAAAATCTTCTTCTTTACTCCTGGAAATCAAGCAGTCAAACTGTTTGCATGATTGTAATAAGCAATGAGTCCTCTACCAAAATTGTGAAATTCATGGCCCTGGGGTCAGGGGTTCTAGTGCTAGGGCGGGGCTAAATAATTAGGTAGTGAAAATGCATTATTTCTTTGAAACTCTTATTCTCTGCTCCTAGGTATTAAATAAACCAACTAAATACATAGTTATGATGAGCAAGAGTGCCTCTACCAAAATTGTGAATTTTATGGCCCCAGGGTCAGGGGTTCTGGTGTTAGGGCGGGGCTCTATTGATTATATAGTAAAAAAACATGAATTCTTTGAAAATCTTCTTCTCTGCTCCTGGGTATTAAATAAACCAACTAAGTGCATAGTTATGTTGAGCTAGAGTGCCTCTACCAAAATTGTGAATTTTATGGCCCCAGGGTCAGGGGTTCTGATGTTAGGGTGGGGCTCTATTGATTATATAGTGAAAATACATGAATTCTTTGAAAATCTTCTTCTCTGCTCCTGGGTATTAAATAAACTAACTAAGTGCATAGTTATGATGAGCAAGAGTGCCTCTACCAAAATTGTGAATTTTATGGCCCCAGGGTCAGGGGTTCTGGTGTTAGGGCGGGGCTCTATTGATTATATAGTAAAAAAACATGAATTCTTTGAAAATCTTCTTCTCTGCTCCTGGGTATTAAATAAACCAACTAAGTGCATAGTTATGTTGAGCTAGAGTGCCTCTACCAAAATTGTGAATTTTATGGCCCCAGGGTCAGGGGTTCTGATGTTAGGGTGGGGCTCTATTGATTATATAGTGAAAATACATGAATTCTTTGAAAATCTTCTTCTCTGCTCCTGGGTATTAAATAAACTAACTAAGTGCATAGTTATGATGAGCAAGAGTGCCTCTACCAAAATTGTGAATTTTATGGCCCCAGGGTCAGGGGTTCTGGTGTTAGGGCGGGGCTATATAGATTATATAGTGAAAATGCATTATTTCTTTGAAAATATTTTTCTCTGCTCCTGGGTATTAAATAAACCAACTAAGTGCATAGTTATGATGAGCAAGAGTGCCTCTACCAAAATTGTTAATTTAATGGCCCCAGGGTCAGGGGTTCTGGTGTTAGGGCGGGCCTATATAGATTATAGAGTGAAAATGCATTATTTCTTTGAAAATCTTCTTCTCTGCTCCTGGGTATTAAATAAACAAACTAAGTACATAGTTATGATGATCAAGAGTGCCTCTACCAAAATTGTGAATTTTATGGCCCCAGGGTCAGGGGTTCTGGTGTCAGGGCGGGGCTCTATTGATTATATAGTGAAAATACATGAATTCTTTGAAAATCTTCTTCTCTGCTCCTAGGATTTAAATAAACTAAGTACATAGTTATGATGAGCAGGAATGCCTCTTCAGAAATTGTATATTTTATAGCCCCAGGGTCAGGGGTTCTGGTGTCAGGGCGGGGCTCTATTGATTATAAAGTGAAAATACATTAAGTCTTTGAAAATCTTCTTCTCTGCTCTAGGGTATTAAGCAGATGAACTACCTATGTAGTTATGATGGACAAGGGCCCTAATCTTCAAGAATTGTGAATTTCAAGGCCCCAGGGTCAGGGGTACCATAGAAGAGGGGGGTGGGGGCTCTACTAATATACTGAAAATGAATGAATGGTTTGAAATCTGCTCCTTGATATTAATCAAATATCAAGGCCTAAGGGTCGGGGGTTCATGTGTGGTAGGGGCACTACTGATTATTGCTGAATATTACTGATTAGTTGAAATGCATTTTTTGCTCCCCTACCCTGGGTATTGGCATTAAGTTAACAAACTAAGCAACTGTTAAGTGTATTGTTATGATGATCAATGGTGCCTCTTTCAAAATTGTGAATGCCATAGCATCTGGCTTAAAACATGAATCAAATTCAATCACTGGAAAGTTTGTTGCATAATGCTCAGGTGACCTATAAGGCCCATGGGCCTCTTGTTGTAATTTATCGTGGACAAAGACATTGGAAATACATGTATAAATATAGCCAAATCAAACTAATGCTAATGAATGAACTGCTGTCATTTCATATCCAAAATTATATCTAAAGCAGGAAAATTAATCTTCAACAAATTTGTTGTTACATTTCTTACTTTGTTCATAAGTTGGTTAAAAATGATATTTTCATACTAATGATCTTTTTTGTTTATTTATTTTGTGTTTGCCTAGGCATTAAGTGCTCAGAAACTGGAACACCAGGTCACCCTTTCACGTGCAATCATGGCTGAGCGAGCCCAGCGTCAGGTAGCCATTCAGCAAGCCGTGGCCAGCGCCAAGGCGGAAGTGAAGGAAAATATAGACGTTGCCGTGGTGTCATGTGACTCCTGGACGTCAGAAAATGGGCAGCCGGCAGCAAACAGTATGGTAGAGACTCTAATGGTGTCTGAGGCCGACTCAGAAAAGGAGAAGGAATAGTGTTAAAATATGTCATGGATGAAGTCAAAATTAGGTCATCATGTCATAATAAGCTGCAATCATGTAGCCTTCTTCAAATTTTGTTGTATGAGGAAAGAGGAAGGGGGTTGCTGGAGAAACATTGAATCTGAAAGAAAACAAATTAAAAGAGAGCTTCATGGCTGCAGCTGTTTCATAATAAGATATGATACATTGGGTGCATTGTTCATTCTATGTACCATATCATCATTATTTGTCCATCTCACTTGTTACACTTTGTTGTGTTAATTTTGTTTACTACAATTAATTTTATTTATATGTTCATTGAAATGTTTTATGTAACAACTAGTACAATATGGGTAAACTCAGTTATAAGAACTCTTTTATAAGGCTTTCTTGGTGTTAAAGAATTTTTTACAATTCCCTCAGGGGAGTTTTCACCATGTAAAGAATCTCTGTTATAATGAAACAGAATCCAATATATCTCTCACTTAATTATTGTCAAGGTTTACTGTATATGTACTCAATTTTCATTTGGTTTATTGTTGGTAATGTATGCATGTATAAAGCTTCTATATATATATATTTCAATACAGTTAAAAACTCTGGTTTTATTGTGCAATGTACACCTAAATTATCACAAGTTCTAATGTGTCTTACAATTTTATATCATATTTTATTCTAATTGAGGGTACTGTGAAATATATCAACAGGGTATAAATTTATCTTTGAATGATAATATGATTCGGAATTTAACAAAATGTTGGCATTTTAGAAGATGGTATCTACGACAATTTTCAACTCAGATCTGCTTCTATGATCTAAAACTGTGTTCTACATCAGTAAGCAACATTGTTAAATTCCAAAACATACATTTATTCCATGATAAAATAATACCATTTTAACACAGGCATAAAGTTTCAGGGAAGTGAAAAAAAAGTGTAGTGATGATCATGATAAATATACATGTAGTAAAGTGAAATGAATTTAATTTTGTAACTAAAAATTAAATTGAAAATGTTCAAAGGCTCTATACTGCATATTTGACAAAGTAATTGAAATGAAAAAGAAAATGTTTATCATCAAATCACATTTAAAAGAATGTGCTATATATGTCACAACATTTAGGAGAGGTTCAATTTCATTTTTAAATTGATCTTGAGAGCATCGCCTGTATATATAATGGTTACATGTATGTTGTTAAAAAAGAGGACTGTGTAAAATTCAGATCTTCTTGATATTAAAAAAAATGTTGTGACAGACAAACATTTATTTCTCTTTCTTGCATTTCTTGAAAAAAAATCTGCCAAATCAATTTGTCTTTGAATAAAATTATGGAAGTTGCTACTGATTCATTATTTTTTGCTTAGAAGATGTCTGATTGTCAAACATGTTTGGAAATATTATTTTATCATTCACTTTTTGAGGTTTTGTATGTATTCACAATCTTCTTGACTTTGGGCTTAGCAGTTGATAAATAATCTTTCTTTTTTGTGATTTACCTTTTAAAGGTTACATACATGAATTTGTATGAATGAATGATTTATAAAATATTCTTTTTGGAATGTTTTTGGAAAAAAATATACACTTGAGAAAAAGAAAAGCTTAGAAAGTCTAACCCTGCTAGGGTGTGAGTGTGTGTAGGGGATGGGGGTGGGGTCATAGAATTTTGATATTAGAAATTAGAGATACAACCAAAAATCTTCTCTTTCATATAGTGTATTGTAAAAAATCTTAAGTTAAAGCTAATATATTAAGGAGGCAAACTCTATTACATTTAGCTTTATCTGTATAATATTTCAGTATATACAAATTTGGAGAAGAGGGGGGATTCAACGTTCCCGAATTTCGGTTACCAACCGTTTGGATATGTTTTGTTCCTATAAGTTATTGAGAGGAAAAAAGGAACATGTACATTTTATTTGAAAAGCGGTTACAGGAAAGCGTTTTCAAATTTGGTTCAAAATTGACAAGATGTTTAATGAAACAAAAGTGAAAATATTTTTAGATAGAAAAGAATAGAATTTCGAAGCATGTGAAAAAGAGCCAAAACCCAGTCATCCTTTGACCAACGAACCTGCTTAGAAAACACAATGTTACTTGGTGTTGATTATTTTTTCAGTCAAGCTTTCTGGTACAATGTATTGCTTTCAGAAGATTGCCAAATCAATAAGATCAGAGTTTAAGGACATACACAACGTACCTCACCCACTGATAATTTTTCAAGATATTCTAAATTTTAACTTACAATACCATTACATGTGTTCCGACAAATAATCAGCATACATTACCAGGGGTTTTGAAAAGATATCAAATTGTAAAATTTTTGCATTGTTCAAAGAAAAATGTACGAAAATTACAAAGCATAAATTCCAGATTTTTTTCATCAAAAATTGTTTTAGAAGAGGTGTACAAATCCATATATAAACATTAAAAGTATTGCACAGGGGTCCTTCATTTAGTGGAACTCTTCAACTCCAAGGAAAAACCCAATAAAGTTCAAAATATACTCAACAAAAAAAGAAACGCATATTGTTTTACTCGTCAAAGAAATTTTTAGAATGTTCATGAAACAACTATTTTTTACATCAATGGATACCTGTGACCTATTTAAAGGACAACATGGGGTTTTAAAACCCAAGTGTTGAATTATCTCCCTTGATTAAACATGTTTATGAAAGTAGTGTTTTTCATGATTTCTTCTAAATCAGTTGTCTATTTTCATTGATATTTTGGATTTAGAGAAACTTTTCACACTTCTATTAAACACATATTTAACATTTGATTGCAGTGTTGATACTGCAATGCCACGCCCAAACAAAGATGAATACAACCAGGCTAACGATGATACTAAATGGAGCTACGCAACAGGAAGTTGCAACTGTATTTGAAATAAATCAATGGGCTTTGAAACCTTAAAACTAACGTCTGAAGACCACTATCATGCCATCCGCTTGTAACCACAACCAGTCTGGACCGTCAGACACCCCCTCCCCCTTCATCACCTCATGCGATTTAGAACTTGCTGTAAAACCGCTGCTATAATTGCTGGATGATAAAATCTGCATAAAAATGCATTAATTGTTCACAAGAGACTGAAATGAGATGGTATTCCTCCACAATATCCGTACATTGGAAATCCACTAGCATTGAGACTTTGCACAGTACATATTGTTATGCCCCTTGAATTTGGGGGCAATGAAAATGACATCAACTTGACTTTTCAATTTGCAATATTGATTTTTATCACAACACACTCTAAAATCGCCTAAATAATATAAGGTTTAAACTGAAAACTTAGAATTTCATATTATTCTGATTATGCGTTTCTTTTTTTGTTCAGTATATATTGACCTTAAAGGCTGCGTGCATTTGTCAAGATTCTTGGCGTTTGGAAAAAACAAAATAGAAAATTTCAAATTAAAATTGTTTATAACTTAATTTCTGTTGCATTTTAATTAAGAACCATCAACTTAAAAAAATAAAATAAATTCTTGGTTCACTTTGAATTTTATTTTGCAATGTATCGATAGATAGGGAATCAATGTAATTCTTCTTAACCAGTGTACTTGTACACACATATTCATATCGCTTTACATAGAGGGGTACATAGTGATTGATATAAATATCGCTACCCTCACTTTATAGAGCAGCTGATAAGAACACCCTGTTCAAATAATTAAGTTTTTGGTGGATTTCGCAATCATCTAGCTCTGTGTAACAACTTAATAATGTTTCAGTTTTTAACAAAAATATGATGCTTCAGCATGTACGGAGAACGCTGGCGTTTTCTGTGTGGATTTATTTTCATATTGTGAACGGAACTCCAGGTATAAAATATATAGATTGATGTTATCTGATAAAAGTAGATGTGGTGTTTGTATAAACTTTGATTGTATTTAAATTTTGAAAATAGAGGTCTTTTACAATATAAATGGAATTATTTTTAACGCAATTTGAAGGGTATCATTACTTCATTTTAAGACAGATGGTAATACATCTGTCGCTTCTGAATTTTTTTCCTTAGTTACGACAATCATTCACCTATAGATCATTTGTATGTTTGAGGAAAAACAGTCGTAAATATGATTATATGATTTTTTTTTTTTTTTGGGGGGGGGGGTTGGATGAAAACGGTATTTTCATAATGATATACTTAATATGTAAATATGCACTGTTTGTTGTTTCTAGATCTGTTTTAAGTTTCTTTCGCCTGCAGATTTTCAATATATTATTTAAATATACATGTATTTTACTCAGTATTTCTATGTCAGATGACCACGATTCAGGGGCCCGTTTTACAAAAGAACTTACGACAAAGACCAAAATCTTTAGATTGTTGTAACATTTTGCAAAATTAATAATTTTGAAATTGTCTGTATGTGTAAAGATATCTTACCACCTTCTTTTTTAAAAGTTAAAAAATAATTTCCGATATAATGTTAATTAAAATGTTATTTGAAGAATTATATTTGGTCTTAAGTCGTAAGTCGATCTTTTGTAAAACGGGCCCCTGAAATTTTACAACACATAACATAGCTCCAACACTGTACCCACGGAATCAGGAAGTGATCGAATAACTCTGTATCCATTGTATAGTAGTTGATTAGGTTATCTAGCGAGGTCGGAGCACTATAGTTTAGGTCTATGGGTAACAGTGTAGGTAGGATTTTCCCCGTAGTTGCAGGATTTTCCATGGCATGGGAATTCTTATTAATGCTCTAAAATGAGACTTCCTTCGGGGGAAAATCCTGCTATAAAATGAAATTAAAAACTATGTACATCATAAAAAATGAAAATGTAATTGACATATATTATATTGATCATAATTATAGTTAATCTCTTTTTATTAGGTATTACTAGCACTAGTACCTATTTTCCTTGTAGTAAGATATGAAATATAATATACATATTTATTCACTATGGAAAGGAAACTGGTTCGGTAGAGGGGGGTGGTTGAGAATTCTTCCAAAACCGATTGTGGGATTTTCTTTGGGTAGAAATCTTTTGTCAGGGCCAATATATTTTTCTTGACGAAAATCCAAATCCAGACATACTTTTCATGAGAGATGTTCTGGAAGTGAAAAGGGGGGGGGGTTCTTCTCAACAAGACCCGCACCACGCATATAGCATGTATAGGATACATGTATATAGATCGAATAACATGAATAAGTTAATCAGTAAATTTCAACATAGAATAAGTTAATCAGTAAATTTCACCAGTTTAAACATGGCTTAATAGGATCACATGATCATGTGATTAAATCTATGTGTAATATTTCTTGCTTTTTCATTATAGAATATGAACTTGGGACACAAAACAGGCAATATCTCTGGAGTAAGTAAAGTATAAAACAAAATCAACAAGAATATTCATAACATTAAGAAAAAAAAAATTATTTATAATTTTTATTTCTGACAATATAATAACATACTCGTATATAAATAATTTTAATTTGATAAAAATAAAATAATTTAATTCAATATGTTGAAGACAGAAAGAAGAAAAACAATTACTTATGCAAGCTCTAAAAATCAGCTCAAAATGTGAAAACTTCACTTAAACGTACATATAATGACCAAATTAATTAAGGCATTACTGTCATGTATTTGTAAACCACCAGCATGCACATTTCAACAAAAAATTGATCATGAAACTGTTTAATTTATGCTACAGTAGATAAACCATTGAGAATTCTTTTTGTAAAGGATCCTGCGATCTGGTTGAATTTACCTGTGATAACGGTAACTGTATTCCATGGCTAAGTAAATGTGACTTCATAGATGATTGCGGCGACGGATCTGATGAAAAAGACGAAAAGTGTAGTAAGGTTCATTACTTTACAGTTTATCAGTTTAATTAGTAAGGTTTTTTACTTTACAGTTTATTTATTAAGTAAGGTTCATTACTTTACAGTTTATTGGTAAGGTTCATTACTTTACAGATTATCAGTAAGGTTCATCACTTTACAGTTTATCAGTAAGGTTCATTACTTTACAGTTTTCAGTAAGGTTCATTACTTTACAGTTTATTAGTAAGGTTCATTACGTTACAGCTTAGTAAGGTTCATTGCTTTACAGTTTATTAGTAAGGTTCATTACGTTACAGCTTAGTAAGGTTCATTACTTTATAGTTTATTAAAAAAGTTCATTTCTTCACAATTTATGAGTTAGGTTCATTACTTAACAGATTATTAGTAACTAAGGTTCATTACTTTACAGTTTATAAGTAAAGTTCATTACTTTACAGTTTATTAGTAAGGTTCATGGCTTTACAGTTTATCAGTGAGGTTCATTACTTTACAGTTTATTAGTAAGGTTCATTACTTTACAGCTTATTAGTAAGGATCATTACTTTACAGTTACTTAGTAAGGTTCATTACTTTACAGTCACTTAGTAAGGTTCATTACTTTACAGTTAATTAGTAAGGTTCATTATTTAAAACGGTTTATCAGTAAGGTTCATTACTTTACAGTTACTTAGTAAGGTTCATTACTTTACAGTTAATTAGTAAGGTTCATTACTTTACGGTTAATTAGTAAGGTTCTTTACTTTACAGTTACTTAGTAAGGTTCATTACTTTACAATTACTTATAAGGTTCATTACTTTACAGTTTATCAGGAAGGTTCATTACTTTACAGTTTATCAGTAAGGTTCACTACTTTACAGTTTATCAGTAAGGTTCATTACTTTACAGTTTATGAGTTAGGTTCATTGCTTTACAATTTATCAGTAAGATTCATTACTTTACAGTTTATCAGTTAGGTTCATTACTTTACAGTTTATCAGTAAGGTTCATTACTTTACAGTTTATCAGTAAGGTTCATTATTTAAAACGGTTTATCAGTAAGGTTCATTAATTTACAGTTTATCAGTAAGGTTCATTACTTTACAGTTTATCAGTAAGGTTCATTACTTTACAGTTTATCAGGAAGGTTCATTACTTTACAGTTTATCAGTAAGGTTCACTACTTTACAGTTTATCAGTAAGGTTCATTACTTTACAGTTTATCAGTAAGGTTCATTACTTTACAGTTTATCAGTAAGGTTCATTACTTTACAGTTTATCAGTAAGGTTCATTACTTTACAGTTTATGAGTTAGGTTCATTGCTTTACAATTTATGAGTAAGATTCATTATTTTACAGTTTATCAGTTATGTTCATTACTTTACAGTTTATCAGTGAGGTTCATTACTTTACAGTTTATTAGTAAGGTACTTTCTTTACAATTTATGAGTAAGGTTCACTACTTTTAATTACAGATTCTTAATAAGGTTCATTACTTTACAGTTTATTAGTAAAGTTCATTACTTTACAATTTATGAGTAAGGTTCATTACTTAACAGATTATTAGTATTTTACAATTTATTAGTAAGGTTGATTACTTTACACCTATTAGTAACGTTCATTACTTTATAGCTTATTAGTAAAGTTCATTAATAATTACAGCTTGTGTAGATGGTTGATTAATTTTCAGCTTGTTTAGTAAGGTTGGTTGATTTAAAGTTAAGGTAGAAAGGTTGATTGATTGATTGATTAACAGTTTGTGTAGAAGGGTTGATTTATTTATAAAGTTTTTGTATAGAAAGCTTGATCAATTAATTTTGCAGTTTTTTTTTTAAATAAGGATGGCTGGTTATTTTATAGTTTGTGAAGAAAGACTGATTAATTAATTTACGGTTTGTGTAGAAAGGGAAATTTACGTTTTTTGCAGAAAGGTTGATTTTACTTAACGGTTTGTGTACAAAGGTTGATTAATTTACATTTAGTGTCATACGGTTACTTCATATACAGTTTGTGTAGATAGGTTATTTACAGCTTGTGAAGTAAGGTCGATAAATTTACATAGTTTGTAAAGGTTGAAGAATCTTAATTTTATGTAGAAAGGTTGATTATTTTACAGTTAACCCCAAACTCGCTTCTATTTTGTTAAGAATATCCTTTGCTATTTTAATTCTAGAAACAACCCTGTATTAAATGAAACATGAAATGACAATGTTACTTTTTTCTCTTTGTCATTATAAAGTTAAATTGCATCTTCCGACAGACAGGTGTACTGAATCTCAGTTTAAGTGTTATTTTGATGACAACTGTATAAACAAATCCAAGATATGTGATGGAAGAAAGGACTGTTCTGATTGGTCAGATGAGAAACCATCGCTCTGTGGTGGAGGTACGTCACTCATTTTCTTTAAATAAATCATTTCTATTGGTTGAATTGAATACTGCGAAAATCATTTGTAAATTGCTAAATTTGGCATGAATTTGTTTTTGTTTTAAATTAAAATGACGATATGCAATGCAAGTTGCTTTTCAGTGCCTTTTATACCGGTATTAAATATCAACTCGCATTTTCAGATTTTAATATGATTCATGTATAGATGTGTCGATGGAATAGGCCCTAAAAGTTTTCAATGAAATTTAAATTGTCTTTCAGATTGTTCGTACAAGCCAGACATGTTTCAGTGTGATAATAATATTTGCATCTATAAGAATCTCACATGTAACGGAAAGAACAACTGTTTTGATTGGTCGGATGAAGTGGGATGCCCATGTGAGTATTTATTAAGAATGACGTATTGGTCAAATTAGCAATGGTAAAGACATATTGGAGAAGAGGAAGGCATTTGGATTTGTGACATATTAATTTTGTCCTTGAATGTTAGCTACAATAATCATGCAAGATGTACTTGAATATCATATGTTATATCTAGTACTTGTTTATCTCCATATTTGGTTTCAAACAAATACATCCTTTGTAAATTACGGTGTTATGATATCCGTGAACTTTTTTTATGTACTCGGTAATTCTATAAAAACAAAGGTTGACTTGTAGGTGATCAATTTGACAAGTTCCAGTGCCTTAACAAGAAATGTATCGACGACAGACTGCTGTGTGACGGGAGCAACGACTGTGGAGATTTTTCGGATGAAATACATTTAAAATGCCGTAGGTTTTCAGAATAGTTTTGCAAAATACCCAATAATGCGAATATATGAGCAATTAATTTAAGCCATGGATGTGCCATGGATGTAATATAAATGTATATAAACCTCTATTAATAAGTGAAATTGATCATACACTCCTACATCTTGAAGGTTGATTTTGATTGGGATCTAAAAGTCTGGAATTGTAACAGCTTAATTTGATTGAATATACAGTAAAACTTTCTTTTCCGGGTATTGTTTATTCTGAAGTCCCCTTCAGTAAGTTTTAATAAATTACTAAATTGTTGTTTGATCTGGAATATTGTATAATCTATTCCGGCAATTGCTCCCCCCCCCAATAATCACAAAATAATACTTTGCACCCAAATATGATCTTGTCTCTGTTGAAAGCCTGAGGCCCGTTTTACAAATTAAAGGACTTACGACTTAAGAGTTAAGACCAAATTTAATTCTTCGTATTCCTTTTCAATTAACATCATATCGAAAATTATTTCAACTTTTTAAAAGGAATGTGGAATGATATTTTAACACAAACAATTACGAAGAGAAATATTAATTTAGCATTATGTTATTAATAACAATCTGAAGTTTTTGCTGGTCTTTAATCTCTTGATCTGAATGCACAGAAGGTTATTTAATATATAATTATTACACTCTGTTGTGACTTGTAGATAAGAAATGCTCGTATTATGAGAGATCCTGTAACAATGGCCTGTGTGTCAGTTTCCGCTCGCGCTGTGACGGAAAGAACGACTGCGGGGACTACTCAGACGAATCAGACTGCGGTGAGATCACAAACAAGTGACGTCACATCACACAGTGTAATCACACATCTCTTTCGGCAAACTTCGGCTGATTCCGTCACCTTCTGAGGTACATATGTACGAATCGGCCGAGGAGTGCCGAACACTCTCGTACTCATATACACATACAATAATGTCATCTCTACAAACAATTGAATAACATAACTGAACAGCAGTACGATAATTCATCAATCAGAACCTAAATGAAAACACTCATCTGCAAATCAATAGTTTACCAGAACCACAAATCAGTAATCTAGCTACACAGAATTCCTTGTAGGATTACCGGGTGTGTACATTTTCACACTTTTACAATTTTATATGCTCCTTGAACACTTTCTTTTATTGTTTTCCCTGTAGAAATCTGTCGCTGGAACCAGTTTAGATGTGAACGCAGCAGGAGTTGTATTCCATCGTCATGGAGATGCAATGGCGCTTCAGATTGTCCACATGGTGAAGATGAAGAAAATTGCAGTGAGCACTCAGAAAACAAAACTTTTTTAGTCATCACTTAGTATTTTACCAATCGTTATGTTTATATTAAATGTTCTAATTTTTTTCTTTCATAGGAAGTGCAAATCCGAACAACTTCAGATGCGGAAGTGGAGAATTTGTCACGCATGACTTACTCTGCGATGGTTTCCAAGATTGCAAGGACTCATCCGACGAAGAGTCGTGTAGTGCGTAAAGAAAAAAAAGATGATATTGACCATTAAAGAGACATGGACACATGCTTTCATTTCAAGATTTTCAAATTTATTTTTCCATTTTTACAATTTTTTAACTAAGACATTTCTGATGATCATATAAAATTTGAGTTTCAGTTGATGAGATACAAGACCGATTTAGAACTCCGAACCTTTGTTATATAAATAGGGTCCGTGCCATGTTTTTATAAAAAAAAATACACAACAGGTTAATATACTAATATATCACTGCATATGTTCGTTCGAAGCAAATATTTTCAACAAAGAAGTTATTCTAAATACGATTAGAAGTCTCTAGTGATCTGCTGAATTTCATATTGTTATAAATATGAAATATTCTATATGTATATAAAAACAAGACACAAACCTTTTTTACACTATGCAGAAACTTTTATCTCTTGTTTATCAACAGGTGGTGTTCAAATTTTGCTGACCATTAGAATTGCCTTAGTTCAGAATTGTAAACATTGAAAATTACTTTTAAAAAATTCAGTTAAAACTGTGTTCATGTCCCTTAAAGTCAAACACTTTATAAAGGTAAATGGGTCATTGAGGTTAATATTGATTAATAGTACCCAATGAATCCATGTCTATGTTTTAAGATTCGTCAAACAACGTCACTTCCGGGAAGTACGGCCCCGGGCTTTATGATTGTCACTGTGAAGGACCTTGTCATCCCGGCACGGGGACGTGTCTCAGCGCCTGCGCACATGGATGGGCGGGGCCTACATGCCAAATTAGTAAATTAGATTTATTTCTGAAAAAAAATATTACAGAGCTAAATATCTACTTAGTCAAAAAAAGTAAATTAATGGTTGATTTTTATCAATTTAGGTAACTTTCAGTGTATAAGAAAAGGAACTCTTTGTTTAAAAAAGTTCATTTATGACATCAAATTTTGACAATGTATATTTACTAGTAAAGCAATTTGTTAAAACAAAGTGAAGTAAAGAAAGATTATAGAAGATGATATATAATGAATAGAGTTTAATTTTCACTGTAGGAGTAATTCCATTTCAAATGCCTATTCAAAACAGTGGACATAAAGTCATCCAATCACCTTTAAGTATTGATGGTGACGTCAGAACATGTTCTCCGCCTGCCACCGGAACCATAAATGCCTACTGGGAAGCGAACATAACCGCGAACACGGAAATACGACGTATTCGCGTCTATAACCCTAGAGGTGAATGCTTTTGATTGGTTTTGAAGCATTTGTAATAATAAAATACAGTATAGAGATTTCTAGGTATTGAAAATGACATACATATATTGCACAGATCATGGTTATAATGTGATGTAATTTATACTAACCATTTTTCCATATTTGTCTTTAATTTTCTTAATAATTTTTTTTTAAAAAAGTAAATTTATTTCGAACTGTAGCACGGACTATTTTCAAGCTGGCAAAACATCTTCAATAATATGAATTAAAAATATCATTTATTTTATGAGCCATATGATACGTAAATTATGTATATTAAATGAGCCTCAGATCACATCTTTATGTCGAACTTGATAGGAGAGATATTCGAGGATTCAAATATTCCAGGGTGAAATTTCTTGGAAATGAGCATTTGGCATTTCAAATAACTTCAAGTCACTTATTTATTCTGTGGTATTCAAAATATCAATGTTCGAGATTTCAAAGTTCACCTATTTAACAGGTTTCTTAGGTCTTAAATTCAAGGGCCTTGAGAAAATTAGCAACATTTAGTAAAAATTGGGAAAAATATCATCATTCATATTTTCATTCTAGAAAAAAATCAAATTAGAGCCATTTCTTTATTTGCAAGGCATTTTTGACTTATTTACATTCAATAAATCTTATTGAATATCAGCTGAACTTGTTCTGGCTGTTCTGTCCATAATATTTAGAATTATTCGACATTAATGTCATGTTTCACGTCGTCTTTTGGAAATTTTCCTTGATGAAATTGGAAAATACACATATTTTACCATTGGCAATGGAGCCTATTACCGGCCCCCTACGACCCTTTATAAAGCCTTTTATTATTTGCTCATATCCACATTGTCTTAACAGATGTTCGAGATTTCGAAGTTCATCTGATATTATCTAATATCTGCATTGTCTTTATAGATGTTTGAAAGATTTCGAACTTAAACTGTTATTAGCTGATATCTCCACATTGTCTTTTTTCGAGATTTCGAAGTTTAACTGTTATAACATGTAGCTAATATCCACGTTATTTTTACAGATGTTCGAAATTTTGAAGATTAATTGTTATTAGCTAATGTATCCACGTTGTCTTTACAAATGTTCGCGATTTCGAAATAAAACTATTATTATCTAATATCCACATTGTCTTAACAGATGGTCGAGATTTCGAAACAAAACTGTTATTAGCTAATATATCCACATTGTCTTTACGGAGGTTCGAGATTTCGAAGTTAAATTGTTATAATCTTCTTATTTATAAGCTAATATCCACATTGTCTTCATAGGTGTTCGAGATTTAGAAGTTTAACTGTAATTAGACAATATATCCACGTTGTCTTTACAGATGATCGAGATTTCGAAGATTAACTGTTATCAGCTTATATATCCACATTGTCTTTACAGATGTGAGCTACCTGATAGGTCTGGCAAAGGGGTTGACTGTCCCCTCCTGTAAGGTCAGTTACCCGGATCTGGTCAGTGAGGGTCACTTTGACATCATCTGTGACCCCGGAACCAGACTCCGGAACCTCCTGCTGCTGTCCATACCCAAGGAGGGTCAATATGCAATAATGCAGATTTGTGAAGTTCAGATTATTGGTATGAGAAGACTTTTAAAAAGAATAATAAGAAAACTTACAGATGATACAAACAAAAAATGGTTTGATATTCATGTTTTGGCCTAATTTCATTGTAAATGATGCAAATAATAAATTTCTAAAATATAGAGAAATTGTAAACCATCTGAGATGTTCAACAGTCGGCCCTTCTGTAACCATCCTTATAAACCTTTACAAATATTTTTCATTTTGAAATCCACATTTGTCCTAATTTGAGTAAAAAATTAAAAACTACACGGTGAAAGTTACCGGGGTATTCATTTCATTTATTTGAACATAACCCAAGTTGTTATTTTCAAATTCTTTGACAAAAGTTTGTTTGTATCATCTGTCCTTAAGGATGTTTTAATGCTCTTTTATTTAATATTTAACCTCTTATTGAACGATATGGTGATAACGAACAGTATTCAATATCAAAGTCCATAAAACAATACAAAATAGGAGCAGAGCTAACACGGACCTCCGAAACATCAGAGGTGCATAGGATAAGGTACCATGGTGGAGTCCCACAAGAAATAAATAACCCCTTCTCCACCCCACCCAAACACACTCAAAAGAATTCAATGGCTTTATCATTTATTCATCTTGGAAAAAAGAAATTTCAATATTTTTTAATTTCGATCCTTTTTAACTATTATTAAGAAATAATTAAAATAATCAATGGAAAAACGTCCTGTGTTTCACTGTTAATAATGATGTATTGCACATATAACTTAAGGTATACAAGTATAATTTTTACAGTTTAAATTCTGATTCTCTAACTTTGATATCTAGAATACAATGTTACATTTGGAACATACATGTGCATGAGGTGTGTCTGCACCTTATTTTGGGGGCATTTTACCTAATAATAGATAATATCACGATATCATTTTTTTCAAACCCACCCAGTTACAAATAACGCTTTTAGAATGTATTGTGGAGACGTTTTCAACTGTAATATACATGTGCATGTTAAATTTCTTTTATGTTGAAAACTTTATTCTATTAGTGTGTTCTAACCACTCTTTCGGCGGACAGTGTGAGAAAACATGCAATTGTCGAGGACCGGAAGGATGTGATGACGTAAATGGGGCATGCGGAGATGGATGTTTATCAGGCTGGCAAGGACAGCATTGTTCAGAACTGATTTATAAAGGTGAATAAATTGATGATATCGAACCATATTTTCTTCCTCAAAAATCATAACTCAAAATCAAAATCCTCTCTATTTCTCTATTTTTATTTTGGAACAGAGCAACTAAAGCAAAGAACCAGAGGAGTTTCCAAAGACAAAGGTATATCCTTGTTTAGTTTTTTAAAAGGATGAAATTAATAACTGATGACATTTTAAAAGTTAGGAAGATCTATTTAATACATGTATTAACTTTTTTGCAGGACGCATTGTGTCATTTTTGATTGTAATTTGTGTTACCTGATATTCTTGATTCATTTTGAATGCATGGCTTAGTATTCCTCGTAATGGATAACTTGGTTCATGTAGGCTATCAAATCCATGAAATGAATCATAAGTAAAACCTACATTCAAAGATGTTCTTTTTTCATATAGAACCTTTATAGTTTTATCTAACTGATTTTCTGTTGTTCTTCAGCTTAACTAGTTAAAGTAGTATATAGTTTCATCTGTTAAACCAGTGGCCTCAATTTTATATAGAGGTTCAGTTTTCAATGCTTGATTTTACTAGTTCTTTGGTATTTGTGAGTCTAGACACTATTTATTATAACAAGCAAAAGAAACCATCAAACAAGATTAGATAATTATACAAAAATTAATGTATTTTTTACCTAAATTTCAATATTAAAAATTTAGACATTTGCATGTTTAAGGCATAATACCATAATTTTATGTTTTGTTATAAATCAGGGGGAGAGAAGACCTACCTATGGATCTCCTTAGGGGTCGTTGCCGCTGTAGCTGTTCTTACAACAATACTTGTTATAACATGCAAGTTACGGTAATTATCGATAGTAATCATCGTAATTTACCAGATCATCAGTTTTTTTTCTTGTTAGAGACAGATTTGAAAGAATGGAGACAACATTCCGTGGATTTGGCAAGAATATGGGTACACAAGTCATGGAAAGTTAAAAAAGGGGAAAAAATCATTGATATTTATGATTTTAATGATACATTGAATTACTGTAACATAGGGAAAATTACTTTTCTTGAGATGTTTTATGATTTCTTTTCCTAAAATATGCAAATAATTAATAAATATGCGCTTTTTATTTGGACAAATGTAAAAGAAATCTACGATAAAAATCCAAATACCAATTCTTTTAGAAGCGCAGGTACCATATCATAATAGCATGTTAATAAAAAATAAACACATCACATTTAAAGGGTATGTCGTTAAAAAATCAACTTTTTTCGCACTAGTAAACAATCGCCCGCATCCAGTAATTCATGTGAGAGAGGAGCAGCGACAAACCAAAGAGTCGCAAATCAGTATCCCTATGACGTCACCAACGGCCATCATGGCGGTCAATCTAATAACTTTAGTCCCCACGTCATGAAACCAGCTTTCAATCCACAGACAGCAAATGCGTCTGATGAGGGCGCTTCTAGTAAGTTATAATGTTATATACATTCGTATTCCTGATAAAACATGAACATGCCAGTACTCGGCGGTATATTAGGATATGTCTCCGTTATATATCATATGCATTATGCAATATGCAGATTGTGACTCTAGAAAATATAGAAGCCTGTTTTACAAATTAAGGAACCTACAACTAAGATAAAAGAAAATTGAAGCTGATTGTAAAATTTTGCAATGTTAATTACTAGTATTCTGTTTAATATTGCTAGGATAAAAATATATTAAGAATTCTTTTAAAAAGGTTCAAATCGATTTTCAAATTAATGTAAATTTGAAATTATTTAGCAGAATTGAAGAGTAAAATTTTGGTCTAAATAAATCGTTCTTTTGTAAAACTGGTCTCAGGTCTCTTTGATAGTATTATATGGTTGTGCTGCAAATCTTTTGACAGTGTTATATACTATATGGCATTCTATGACATTGTTTTATGATTGTATTGCAAGTCATGTGACAGTGTAATATATAGCAGTGCTATTTACCGGTAGCTGTGCTTTAAGTCATGTGAAAGAATATTCTTGACTGTTGTTATTCATGTGACAATGATTTTAGGGTGTTTTGCTGATTGTACGTCTGACAGTATACTGTAGTACTCACATGGTATGAATGTATTGTAGGGTATGTTCCAGTGTCTGCTCTTTATACATGTAATAATATGCAGAAGAATACCGGAAGATTTCATTGAAGATATATAAAAAACAACAGAGATCTGGTTACTTCCAACAACAAATATAGCATTGATAGAAACATCCAACAACAAATATAGCATTGATGGAAACATTAAACATGTCAAAAGAGAGGTCTTCATGGAGATGTAGAATATCAAGAGTGTTTTTAAAACATATTAAATTTTTTTTTAAAGTTCTCAATGAATTGTGAAGAAGTAACTAAATATTTCTGGCATATTAATACATTTAACAGAGGGAGAGAGAGAGAGAGAGAAAGAGAGAGAGAGAGAGAGAGAGAGTTTTGAATTTGAAATGTATACAGTAGTGCATGAGTTCATTTGTCATTTATAGCTCACCTGAGCCGAAGACTTGAGGGAGCTTTTCCGATCAAAATTTTTCTGTTGTCTGTTGTAGTTATCGTCATCATAAACTTTTCACATTTGAACTTCTTCTCAAGAACTACTGGGCCGATTTCAAACAACTTTGGTGCATGTACAAAGTATCCTTGGTGAAGATGAATTATGGTGGATCAGAGTTTTACAGAAATGGAAGAAAAAATCTTGCCAAGAAAATATATGTTCAGTCAAATTGGCATGTAAGCATCCTCATGTAACGAATATTTGTTCAAATAATGACCCCTTGAGGTAGGAAAGGGAACAGTAGGGGATCAAAGTTTTACGAAGTAATTTATAAGAAGAAAATCTTTAAAAAATTCTTTAGAAATCTTTTTTTTAAGAACAGGACAGTTATATGCTAATGTGATATGGAGGCATCCTCGAGTAGTATAAAATTTCAACCCCCACCAACAACACCCCGTCCCCTTATGTATTTGTGCTTTTTTCCTATCAAATGCCCTTAGGTGGGCGATGTGGCCCATAGGCCTCTTGATTATATTTTTATTGAACAATGTACAATTAAGTCTTAGACTTTGTGTAAATGCTTATTGCTGTAATTTTTGTTTGCATAATACAGTGTAAATATAAAGAATGTATTCCTGATAACAAAGATTTTACCTGTAGGAGAGAATAATTTTCTGTCAGGTGTAAAATTCAGTGTTCTTTAGGTGTTTTCTATTGTATATTTATCTAATTTTTTATTTTCAAATTTTTATTTTGACCTTCATTTGCAATTCCTGTCCTAGGGGTAAAATTCGTAAAATAAGAAAAAAAAATCTATTAAAAAAAGCGAAAACCTATTTCTATTACACTAGTTTTAAATTCTTATGACAAATGAACTAATAGAGGGATCTCCACACTTGAACATTTAATCATGGAGGCAGCTGCGCAAAGGCGAAATGTGACCGTAAAAAACGAAAGGATGTTAGACTTCCTAATCTTCTTGAATCAATGATTCGTTTTACAATTTTTAAACTTAACCTCTGCAACAAATGTTGAAATAACCATAAATTTTTAAAGCTAAAAAATAATAATTAAATTGAGATAAAACATGAAAAAAGCATTCTGTATCTTACTTCACATATGTACCAAAATTTGCCAAAAACTGTATAATAACCTTTTAAAGGAATTTAAAAAACCATTTGACACAGTAACCTTGACAATATTATTCAGAAACTAATTGTTATTAGGTTTCTTTTCCTATATTTTTTTTGTTTCTTTTTTTCCTACCGATTTTGTACACGCGATTTCTCGTAAACGACTCGATCGATTTTCATGAAACTTTTAGGTCTGGTAGAGAATCAAAAATACTAGATGCATAAATTTATATTTTGATGATGTCACTTCCGATTTTAAGATTATTGAAATTTAGTGAATTTAAAGGGTACTTTTGTCCGCAGCACTTCTTTGAAAAGAACTTAGCACAAGAACATATTTGCCGTGATGATAGAGCAAGGAATGATAATTTGTACTATAGAAAGTTCATTTTTACCAAGTGCCGCACGTCGGTGCTCGCTATGGCTCGAAAAAAGGTCATATCGCGAATTTCAAAATTTCCAACACCCTTTTTGCAATATCCTTTTACCTGGAAGTATTTTGTAAATACATATAAGTGTAGAATTCTTTGTATAAAGGGCTAAAAGGAGCCGACTAGGGTTTTATTGTGTGAAAATTATACAAAAGGGAAACTCCTCATATTTATATCATATTTAATTTACATTAAATTCAGTGTACATGCCAAGTTTGGAGAATTAAAATCTACCGTCGTATTGTGAAAGGACCGTCTCAAAATACAGGTACATTTACTAGTTGATTATATTGGAAAGTAACTATTTTTCGCAGTTTTAAGCAAATTATACTAATACTTCAATAGTCTTTTTGATCAAACTATAATATACAATGAGCAATACTAATTGTACAACAAAAAAATGTAGGATTCAAAGGATTTATACGAAAAATAATAAAAGTGATAATAAGATTCTCAACTGTTTTAGATTTTTCAAGACCATAAACTAAATACTTTTTCTTTTTATAATACGGGCATTTTGCAATGGAAACCTCAGACCTAAATTAAAAAAAAAAAACTCCTGAAAATTCCCACGACTGAATTATCGTCCGCGTGGCACATTGGTTAGAACGTCTGCTCTAGCGTCGCGAAGTCAGGAATTGATCCGACGTCGCGGATTCGAATCCCACTGCGGGACGTGGAGGACGATCTTTTGAATGAGACCGTGTAAACCCAGGCCCTGTGTCGAAGTAGGTACTGGCACGAACAAATCTCACCCAATGACTCTGACTGCCGAGTATTGGACAAAATTTGCAGCTCTCAACCAGCAAGTGGCGGTGTCTCTATTTGAGTGAAAAATTATCAAGAGGGACGTTAAACAATATGCAACAAATCAATCAACCCACTTCTGAATGAATTTCCCACTTGGATTCCAAAACTCCTCTGTCGTCACCCTGTCAGTCTTAAACAAGACTTTCTCCTATGATCAACTCTGTCGTTACATGTATCCTTAACTACCTTACCCACTCCTTGTCATTTATTGACATTCCCTGACCTCCTTGTACATTCCTCGTCGTCCTCTGTTTTTTGTTACTGTCTTTCAAGACTTCCTCCTGTCCTCCACTGACATTTCTTTTGACGAATAAAAAGGGTTTCAGATATATATTTTTGTTGCAAATAACGAGCAAGAAATGTTATTGTCTTAAAAATTTAAAGTTTTTTTTTTTAAAATATTCCCTTAGTAATACGTTAGCACTTTTTAAAGCTTTACTAAGTCCTCTTTATGGCGTCTATGATTTTTATTGATTGTTTCAGTTTAAAAGCATTTTGGAACAATCTAATTTTAAAGAAATGCATTAATATGAAAAATAATACCAATTTATTGCATCTTGAGAAGCCAGACGGCATATAAGTCGAAATAATTTGAA